GGGGCCTCGCCGCCCGCCTCGGCCTCGCCGATCCCGCCGTGGTCAGGTACGGGCCGCGCCGGGCGCAGCTCTGCGCGGGCGGCCGCAGCGCCCCGGGGCGGAGCCCGCGTGCGGGCCGCCCGGCTGAGGGTCCCGTGGCGCCGCGTGTCTTGCAGGAAGGCCGAGGAGCTGCTACGGCTCGCGCAGGTGCGCGGCGCGGGGCTCGTGGCGCAGCTGACGGCGACGAGCAGCGCCGTGCTCTGCCTCGAGCTCGCGGCCGCGCTCATGAAGCGGCCCGTGGACAAGGTAGGAGGGGCGGCTCGGCGGGCGGCGCTCCCGGTGCTGGCAGCCGCTGGACACGCAGCTTGAAACCGGGAGATCCGACAGCAGCGTCCTTGTCGTATCCGCGGCACGGTTTACACTTGGGTGCTGTTTTCAGCTCCTCCGGTAACTAACTCCTAGCGGGGATGTTACCTTTAAAACCTGCCCCTTTCCCTGGGAGCAAAGCAGAGGCCGCAAGGAGGCCCTGGCTGCAGTGGTACCTGGAGCCTCCCCCTGCAGAGCTGCCAAAATATTGTTGTGATTTAAGGAGTTCCCGACTGCCCCCTCCCATGGAGGAGGCTCTGGGTGCACCCGGTCCCCAGGGGAGCAGCACGTAGGTACTGTGCATCTGTGCGAGCTGCTCAGGCCATGGGTACCTTCATTTCTAACTATTGTGATAAAGGGACCATGTCATGTTGCATAGAAAAGACAAATCTCAGCCCTAGGGAAGTGATCTTTAGGTTCAGCAGCATTAAAAGGTGTGACATTCCCAGGCAGTTAATCTGTTTCTGTGCAATGAAAACCTCCATCGCTCATTGCATGAATATGTTTTATTTAGCAGTTAAACAACAGTTAGAAAACTTGGTCTGTAGATTCTGTGTACTCAGTACAGACACAGCTGTACTTCACTTCACTCAATGAGACAGTGGAAGGTAGTCTTCAGAGTTGTCTTTGTCTTTTAAAGACTTACTTTGTTAAACTCTCCGGCTTGAGCAAGACGGCGTACCAGAGCTCCGCGAGGTCTTTGGAGTGTCTGCTGGGGCTGAGCTCGAGCCTGGGCCTGCGGGACTTGGCCGTGCAGTTCTGCTGCACGGAGGCAGTGAGCACCGCTTCCCAAATGCTGCAGAGGTGAGGAAGCTCCCGCGGGACACCCCCAGCAGCATCCTTTGTCCATTAGGTGTTTAAATGATGGTTTGAAGGCTCCATAGCATCCCAGTGTCCTCCATTTAACCACTGACATTTGATACTGCCCTAGGCCCAAATGGACAGTACAAATTAAAACTCTCCTCAGTGCTGGAGTTCCACTATGTCATTTTCCATCCTTAAGCATTTAGCTTTAGATGTATTAAAATATCAAAGGAACTATAGTTCTATCCTGTACGACAGGATGGATTTGTGTAAAACACCTCATCATAACTTTTGAAGCTCTGAGGATGGGGAGTAGGAAAAATAGATTTTACTGGCACATCTTGATCAAGATTTCTGATTTATAATACCTTTCTTTCAAAAGAAGATCCCAGTCCCTTTCTTTCTCCTTGTTTCTTTTCTCAGCTGGTAGTTTGTCAGTGTTTGACAGGGTTGCAAAGGACCAGATAGTCCAACACATGCTCATGTGCTGAGGGCCACGGGATAAATTATTTCAACAGCTTCTCTTGAGGCAGCTGTGCCATGCAACTACCACTCTCACTGTGTTTCTTAGGTATGAATCTAGTCTCTCTGAAGCCCAGCAAACAGACCTCGATTTCTCAAAGCCGCTCTTTACAACAGCTGCACTGTTCACTGCATGCAGGTGAGTACAGCTGGAGGGATCTTATGTGGACTGAAATGCCTAATGAGACATCAAAGAGAGAGTGCTCACAGTTTAAAAAGCTGATTCATTTTTCAGCATGTCTGAATAGTCTGAAGCATCTTGCTTAGTGCTCAATCCTGGAATTTAAGAGATACCTAGGAAGTGAGTCATTTTTCTTATAGTAAAATCTTCTACCTACTCTACATTTTCCTTCAGGAGGAAGCAAAAGTGTTACATCAAATATGCAGCAGTGTCTTAAATTACTTCTTACAGAATAAATGAAAGCTGCCCTTGCTGGTGCATAATAGATGCTGTGGGTGATTCCATTAGGACATATTATCCAAGGCAATGGCTGAAGAACATCTCTTAATGCTCTGCACTTCCCCTCCTCCCTCTCGGCCTAACTAGCATAACATAATCCCTTAGTAACACTTTCACGTTTAGTGGGAAGACTGTTTCTATTTGTCAGTCTGGATTTAAACTATGGAAAAAGGCAAAAGGCTGCACGTGGCTCTTGTCGAGGAGCTGCTCAAGGCAGTCTAGGAGCTCACAGTTGCACAGCTCTCTGCAACTGATCTCTACCACAGTCATCCCATTTGACTCCCTCTTTACAGTAATGAGATTTTGTCCTGCTTTCTCCAAAAGCTGGAAAAGTACTTTTTCTTAGCATGTCCTTTTATTGTTTGAACTAATCAAATGCCCTGGCTGAGTCATGTAAAGGTCTGTTAATGAACAAGGTTTTTCTGAGTGAAATAAGGGCTAGGCAGGTAAGGCAAGAATGCAAGCTTCCCCTCCTTGTTCTCACAGACATTGCTGGTAGAGTAAATGTAGCCTCACCGAGTGATACCTTGCTTGCATGTTGCTTCCTACAGAAAACAAATTAACTTTCTGTTGTAGGCAGTTGAAGCTAAAAGTAGACAAGTCTAAAATGGTGGCTACCTCTGGAGTGAAAAAAGCAATATTTGAGCGGCTGTGCAGCCAGATGGAGAAGATAAATCAGCAACACAGCAGTAAGTTTTTGGCTTTATCTCTGTAAGACATCCCCTGGTCCTCACCAGACCTCACAGTGCCCCAGCCTTCTATGCTGCTGATTTCGTTATAATCACACATAACTGCCCTTCCAACCAAGCCTGATTGTCTATTCCAATTATGTTTCCTGCAGTCCAGATCCCAATAATGCTCCTTACATCAAGAGAAATCACATCAGCTTAACACACTGCAAGATGAATAATGAATATTTTCTTTTCTTAGATGTTCACTTTCTCTGCCAGTGCAAATTTTTTTCTTGCTTATCCCATAACTACCAGACCCGTTCTGGATTCCCCCTTCTCATGTGCTGTCTACATCCCTTTAGCATAGAAACATAACGTGAAGATTAACATAAATAACTTGTCATCTCTTGTTAGGTCAGACTGTTTTCTCAGTTTTCCTTTACTTCCCCATGACAGGTCTAATTCATGTTTCTAAGCCCTCCTTGTCTGTGGCAATGCAGGCATGACCTGACACTGTCCCACCACATGTAGTCAACATGAGGAAGGTTGTCCCCAGGTCTTGCTTAAGCATACAGCTCTCCCCATTCTTTTTAGTGGATGAGGAAGACTGAAATATGCTACCTGCCTACCCTTCCACTCCTTTTTATCGATTCCCACTCTTTCCTAGGCTTTTTTTTTTTCCCCCTTCAGTCCCTCCATAGCAGCATTCCTGCCTCCTCCTGTCTTCACACTTCATAGCATGTTGCTTTTGGAATGGGTTTCCTGAACAGAACCCAACAGCTGCTGCTCTCTCGCAGGCAGACTCCATCCCAGAGTGTGGTGCCCCACACAAGTCTGACCCTACTAGTAAATCAACTAGAGGCACCAGGGATATATTCTGCATATAGTTGCAAAATGCTGTGGCAACCTGCAAAACAAATGAATTGAAGAAACGAGGTAGAAGAGAGAAGAAACAAATAAGAATCCTACCTGAATAGTCAGTAATGAAGTGTTTTCTGGGGATACAAACGCGCCTGGTTGAGGTTACAGATGAGCAGCAGTGCTGGTTAAAGCAGTCAGCCAGGCCTTGCAACTCTGGCAGTGTGACGGCACCTCCACTCGTAGGGCTTAGGGGTCAGCCTGGACCAGGGGCCTGCTCTGAGAAATAATTTCCTGCTGGGCAGATTTCCAGCCAGGTCAGTCACCTACCCCCTGGTAGCACCTGGCTGCACAGGGAGCTGTGCTGGGCACCACACAGCCCCCTGGGAGGAAGAATAGGTCACTGAGCACAGCAGGCTGTGCAAGGAGGACCTGCTGACAAAGAACTACACGCAGAAAAACATTCTTGGGGCCCCAAACAACACTTAGAAATAAAGCAGCTTTCTGTTTCTTTAGAGAACGACGTTCCTTTGGTTGTTGAGACGTCTGAAAGCCTGCAGACCAAACTGGAGCAGTGTGAGCAGAAGGAAGGTAAGTTGTTTTTAACCATGAACTAAATGAGCTCACCTGAGTATCTGTGGGTTGTGTTGTTCCTTAATTACCATTAATTTTTAATGATAACTTTAATGCCGTAAGATCTGTTCACAACAGCTTACTCTAATTTGCAAATGACTGGCTACGAGAAGACTAAAAGCTTAACAGAAGGACCATGATGTGAACATTGAATGTTGCCACCTCATGGGCTTTCTCCTTCTCTCCTAGAATCTGAAGATGATGATGAGATGCCGTGTAAACGGACAAAGACTGAAACAAATCAAGACTATGAAGAATGGAGAAGGAGAATCCTGGAAAATGCTACTAAGGCACAGAAGACAACTGAGAATACTGCCTCTGAAGTGCCATCTAGCAACAGCACTGCTGCTCGCTCCTAATTTTAACTCCTCTTCCACTCTTAAGACTTCCAGAAGGCATGTAGAAGAATGGTTGGCTAGCAGCCAGTTAATTTATGAAATAGTTCTAAATTTCAGAATGTTGTTTGTAATAAATGACACCAGAACTATGGTGATTTTGCAAGAACAAGCATGTCTGAACTCTAGCCACAGTGGTGGCATTAGATGGTAGAATAATCTCCCTTCCATGGGGATAACACTTTAGTGCAACGTTAAGTGTGGATAAGTTATTAATTACTTGCCTTTGTGCCTCTGGCTGGAAGTAGTTAAAATAGAGGTAGGGGATTAATGGGTGCCTTCCTAACAGTAAAAACAGTTGAGTTAGAGTTTGATAAACTTTTTTACTGCCAAAGAAACTCTGTTCAGATGCTCAAGTTGACTTAGTTTTTATGATCTGTGTGGGATTGAAACCACAAAAAACAAAGATACCTGGGTGGGGTGAACTTTTGTGTATTTTTTGTAATAAAACTAACCCAAACCAGCTGAACATTTTCCTTTAATGTTTTCTAAGTGGGGCGTGTAAACAAGTTATCGTCTTGAAATCCTTGTTTCAAAAGAAGCCAAAATGCCCCCTGCACATGTGAAACACAGGAAACCACCTTGTGTCTGAACATTAGGTTTGACCCACTGCTCCCACCTGGGCCTCTATTTAACAGTATTTTAATAGCTTACCAAGCACCTCGCATTGCTGCGTGTGCTGCTTGCTTACCTGGGTAGTATGTGTACAAATTGTCCGCTCATTAAAATCTGATGTAGCGTGGGGCAGAGTCCTCAGAATCCAACACAGTGGGTTCACCTCAATAGTCCTGACCTAATTAAAGATGTGTTTTTAATTATTATTTCCTTGGTTAAAGTCAAACTTGAGCACTAAGTTCGTTCCCTTTTAATGCAATTTATTAATCTCAATTAATAAATATACATACCAATATGTATGAATATAACCATATTTAGCATGCAGTACCACTGTGAAAGGAAAACATGAATGATAGTGGGCCTTCATGGAAGGTGATAAAATTATCAAGATTATTTCACTTGATTCTAATTCTTCTGGACGTGCTGCAGAAATCCAGAACCCAGGTGTGTGCTAAGTGAGAACAGCTAGAGTGGGAAAGATGACTAGCATTAGCCATTCTTAAAATCCTCTTTATTAAGAACTACCACTTTTTCCAATTCAAGGGACATGAAAGTCCATAAAGTTAGTGGGAGCTTGATGGGCTTGATGATGCCTTTGCTGAAAAGTTGGTTTTAACACTTAATTTCCCTCCCTGGACCGCAGAGAGCACATTCTGCTCATGCTGAGTTTTGCAGAATCTAGAACAGGGATACAGGAAAGCACAAGCTTAATAACAACGAACTTCTCTGAGCTAAAGGATTCTAAGTTGCTCCACCTCTACCTATCAAGAAAACATTTAAGAAACACAAATAATTAGTACTGTGAGGAAAACAATCTAGCATTGGAGAACAAAAAGGGCTCCAGTTTCCTTCCTGAGCCACAGACAGAGGCTGCTGCCTCTGCCTTTTGGAGATGCAAGCTCTACCTCACCACTTCCCAGCCACTGAGCAGTGCAACTGTTCTGCATATCCCAACATACCAGCATCTCAGGTAGATTTAATCACAATTGCCAAGAAGGAAGAAAAGTCCTCAGATTATAATTTACAAATTTAAATACCACAATCCCAGTCAATGAGAAATCTTTACAAGTCTGAACAATATGTAATTCCACGCCTGGAAGTGTCGTCTTTCCTGAAGAAGATTATTGCAATTTAATTCAGATCAATTCAGCTTAGTATTAAAAATGAAAATCAGCAAAGGACATGTTGAAACAAGTTGCTTTCAAACCAGGAATCCTCATGTTCCCAAAGTATACAGTGACTGTTTTTTAGAGGAAACAGTAGACGTTACACACATATCCCTCAGTGTGGTGTGCATACATATATAGATATATTGATATGTATTCAATTTTGTGTAGTTGTCATGTTTTAGAGGAAAAAAAAAGAAATCTCTGGAGAAAAAATACAGAAAAACAGGATATCTGATCTCTTCTGCTTTAGGAACAGCTTGCCATTGTTGTGGCAGTTCTCTAAAATTGATGAAGTATATTAGCGTAAAGAAAAAGTCCTTAGAGTTTTTGTTTGATATGAGAATGCAGAAAAATGCTAAGGTGTTTTCTGGTATAAACAAAACAACAGATCTCTGTAGAATCAAACCCTTCAGCAAGAAGCCAGTCCCACTAACTGCCATGTTTTTGCATCACCATCTCCAGTAACTAAAAATCTTATAAAACAAGTAAGGTTGTTTCTGCTTTTAGAAATTATTTCTGTGCTTCTGCGCCGAGGCGCTTCTGCCACCTAAGCACTCTAACGCACGTAATATCTGAGAACAGACCCGAAACCTTATCAAAGAAAGGGATAGAAATTATTGGGAAAAAAAGAGTCCTCCTTTCACGGCTTGATGTCCATGTGCAAGAGCAGCAGATGCTTCAGACAACTCAGGCAAGCTTGACAGACATGCTCTGAAATCTCTTCAGCCTGTTAGCAGCAGCCACTGCATAAAAATGTTTCTGTGAACAAAACAGAGGAGTCCAAATGTGAATCCAACTGAGGTGAAGGACATTCATTTTCAATGTCTGACAAGGGCTCTGCTTAAGTCAGGAAAAAAAAAAAAAAAAAAAAAATTTGCCACATTTTTTGCATATTACAGTTGGTTTATACTTTTCCCAGGTGAAGAAAAGCCCTAGTTTTTGCATAGTAACACATGTTTAACTTAGTGAAAATTTCATACAAGGTCTGAAAACCAGCACAGACTCAGCCTCTGGAAGGCCAGGTAGCTTAAACCTCAGAAAGTAGATGCAATACTATTCTGCAGGAGATTTAATTTAACATTTAATTTGCAACTAAAGTAGAATTCCCCCAACTGATATTTACAAGAATTCTTTTGCCATGTACATAAAAGCAAGTCAATATATGGAAAAAGAAATAATGATCCTGCCAGCACTGTGCAGATTGTCCCTCTAGAAACTGGATTTGTCAGGTTTCATCTACTTACCTTCCACTTCCTCTGAGCCATGTAACTCTGCAGCAACAACTGGGACTTGAGGCAACGCTTGGACTTCTTGGCTTTGGCAGGCAGGTTGTTCAACCACTCGTGCTTCAGACACTGCGTTGCGCTCATCCGGCAGCTACAGGAAAAGAAATCTGCCATGTAAACACAGCTACTGCAGTTGTTATTTACTCAGTACCCTGTGCTGCTCAACACTGACAAAGAAATGCCCTAAATACATCCCTAGAAAACCAGGTGGAAAGGCTTTTTTGAGATGCTATTCACCTCAGTGCATGTCTGTCTGCATGACATTTGCACTCTAGCATAAGTGAATGAAGAGCTGCTGAGGGGGCTGCAGTGAGCCCTCAGGAGAGGGCTCAGACCTGGCCAGCAGCCTGCAGCAGCTTCAGCAGTCAGCAAAGGTAGGCACGGTTCTTGCAGCAGCCCAGCTGCCTCAGGATGGCCAAGGTGCCATAACAGGCACAGGTTGACCATAGGCCTCATGAATAACTGGGTCAGCTAGGCACTCCTCTTTGCCTTTTAGCAATAATTTTCTTCTCTTGCCTAGTCTTTTCATGCACTATTTCTATCAGCCTTTGCAGTGTCCCTCTGCAGTCCCTATTCCCACTGCATAGATACGAGACTAAACGCAAAGATTATCTGCTAACTTAGAGCAAATCAGCAGCAGAGTCTGAAAAAAATCTCTACTGACTCCTGTGGACTATTCCTCTGCTCAGGCTGTTTATTCTTAACTTCTCATGTGACTTGTTCTTAAAAACATAACTGGCATTAGCATCGATTCGTCTGACTTAGGTAATGATCTGGCAGATGTCAATGCTCTAGCTGTTGCTTTTAACTCTCTCTGCAAACAGGATCTGTTTTCACTGTGAGCATCATCTCCTGCTTTGCACTGCTATTCAGCAAGAGAAAAACTTCTCTATCCCCCTTCCCCAACCCCATAGTCTTAGTCCCACATCAACATCGTCCTCATTCTGTCTAACCTCATACGCACAATCACTTCTTATTTCAGTGGAGCCAAGGTTTAACATGAAGAGTTAAGTCTCTAATGCTGCTTAATATTAACCAAATGCAGCTAGTGCACTTCAGAAGAGAACAATGCACATTTTCACAGCTGCAGCTTCCATTCATCCTCCAGAGTATTCGAGAAACATTTTTTCTAGTTTGTGTCAGTGCTTGCGAAGATCCAATGCAACAGAAGAACTAGCTTTTGCTCAGCGAAGCAATACTGATACCTGCTAGCAAGGAGCAAACCTTGGATATTTCCTCTACTTTGCCTATATTGGAGTTACTGGGAAAGTTACTGTGAAAAGCAGTTGTCTCCAGTCATGGTACACCAACATCTTCATTTTATATAGGGGCTTTGAAGCACTGTGGAAGTGCCTCATGATACAGTAAATTCTTCTTGTTGACTGCAACCCAACAACTTGGCTAGCAGAAATTTTGTTATATTTAGGTGCAACCAGCCTGTTCTGATCATCACAGAAAGACATGCCTCTTCTCCTTCACAAGTAGTCTGGAAATGAAGTCTTTGGCTTCCTCTGATAGCTGTTCAAATGCTTCTGCATCAAAATCCCAGCTGCAATTGACTACATAGTTCATCGTCTCTGCATCAGTTTCTCCCAGGAAGGGGGAGAGGCCGCTTAGCCTTAAACAAAACACACAGAGTTATGGTTAGCATAAGAGAGGAGCAACAGTGGGGATTCCATTTCTAAGCCCCCACCAACATAAGCCAACAGTTTTGAGCAATAAAGCATGCTAATCATGTGTTACTCCCTAGCAGTTTGCTCAGCTAAGCGAGGGAGCACTGTTAACACATACCCCAATATCTTTTAGGTACATACTTCAGTGTTTTGCCAAACAGGAATCTTGAGAGGAAGGGCCTAAGACTCAATAGATTGTTGTAAATCAAGGCCCACATCCAAATTTGGCTTTAATTAAATGAAACTTTGAACAATACTTTTTTTTTTTCCAAGTTAGTTTCTAAGCTCAGATTTATTCATTCAATAATTGCCACGTCATTCACTTGCTTTTTGATTAATGTATAAAAACAAAACAGAAATGTATCCACAGAAAGCAGCTATGAAAATTCTGCGATGTGGTGCCAATTCAGGAGGGGGCAGTGACTTTGGACAGACAGGGTCCCTGTGGCCACAACCCAGATGTCAGTGAAAAGATTTACCCCATCTGCTGAAAGACATTTATTGCATAGATGCATAGTCTAATAGCCCCAAAACTAGTTTGTGAACACCAGTTCCAAGCTGTTGAGATGATCAGATATAAAATGTCAAAGTTAAGTGCTCAAGAATTCAATGAAAATGAAAATTTTGACGCGCTTTGGGCAATTAATAAACCTGACCTGTTTTGATTCACTAAATGCGAAGGGAAGAGGAGAACATTTAAATATTTATAAAGAAGGATTATTTGTTGTACAAAGATTTTGCACCCCCAGTGAGATGCCTTTGCAGAGAAGGTCCATTTCCTCTACTGGAATGGGTGGGAAGTCATGGCAGGATGGTACCCACCACCGGGCTGTTCTTGGAGAGCCTCGGTGCCACCACCACGACTCCTCACAACTTTACTCACAGCATGTATGTGATGACACCCACACTCCACATGTCCGTTGGGAAGGAAACAAAGTCATAGTTCACCACTTCAGGAGCCAAGAATTCTGGAGTGCCAAAATTAACTTTCAGCTTCTCACGAGGTTTGTACCTGTATCAGAAACAGAGGCATCAGATGCTGCCAACAGGCTTGGAAACACATTTCATACTTGTGCTAGTAAATAAATAGATAAAAATAACTAAAAACTGGCAAAAAGAGCAGGCAAAGTTCAGCAGATTCACCCAGGCACGGGACAGCATTAAAGGATAAACTCTGCTGCACCAGCAGGTGTAACACAGCAGCACCTCACTCCTTGCTCTAGCAAGGGCTTGCATCTTGACCCTCTATTTCAAAAGGAAATCACAATGTAATCTCAGTGTATGCATTTTAGTTGTACATACGTATGAAACCTTGGTCTTAGTCTACAGAAGAGTATGTTGTGGAAACAGAAATATACACTAGACTTGCAGGGTTTAGGAAAATACTCTAAATATTATTATATCAATAAGAGTCATTGCTTTCTCTTCTAGAAGAATGCACTTATGCTCCCACAGATTTCCTCCCAACAAAAACCTCAGAGCAAGCAAGGTCTCATCCAAGCATGGGGATAACGCTTTACCTTGGAGGGTTTCTCGTTTCACACAGGTTGCCTCAAATGTGCATTTCATTTTGCAGTCAATGCATCTGCCTAAGGACTTTGGTACCCAACTTCCATACCTAGAACCTGTACAATAACACCCAGCAATCCCAAAGTCTCCCAGAGCCTTCATGGAGTCCCTAGAGAAAAACTCTACACTGGGAAGCATTCTGAGATAATTGGAACAGCAGTAAAGCTTTACGCAACAGAAATGTTATTTGAAAAAGTAATTGGATAATTAATGCACAGAGCAGAAAATTATGTCCGTAGAAGCATACTACTTCATTCATTCACATAGCACAATCGGTTTAGAGCTACTAAAAGGCACAGAGCACTTAACAGGATCAACCAAAAATATGTCAGTGTTTTAAAATAAATTGATATTTGAACCTTCTTACCTTCTTGCTAATCCAAAGTCTATAATTTTAATCTGATTTCCAGTGTGATTTACACACAATATGTTTTCAGGCTACAGGAAAAAAAAAAAAAAAAAGTTGTAGTTAGTTAAATATAGAACTGTTTGAGATAACTAGTAGAAGAGCAAAAAAAAAAACCTGCACAAGTTTGAATTTTTTATTTTATTTATTTTCCATTACTTTCAAAAGAGAGAAGGATTTGGCTCTGGCATATTCCCATCTGAGTTAGTAAAAATTTTGTTTTGGAGCTCCATATAGAATTCACCTTCTCCTGCTCTATAACATTTCTTTATTTCACCACAGATAAAAGGTGGATTTTGAAAGAAAAAAATGTCCTTTGCATAAACAGTTAAATATTAGCCTGGACCAAGCTGGACTCACTGTGAAAATACAAACTCCATAAAATTATAAAGGCCACATAAGAGGCCACAAGAAGCATGTTAAATACATGCTATGGCTTGCTGACAAAGGCGAAGATGTGGAGTTTATAATGAGAATATTTGCCAGGGTATGGGAGGAAGCCAAAGTGAATACAATTGCAGAAATATCTCCAGGCCAGCCAGATCTAACACCACATTTAAGGCATTTTTTAAACAGGGGAAAAAAAAATTAGTTCCTATCCAAATCAACTATTAAAGAACTTATAGGAAAAGACAGTGTAATTGCACCACGGTTCAGATCCAGGCATTAAGAAATACAAACAATAGGAAGACAACAGAATAGCTTTTTGAATACAGCTCTGGGGGATGATACAGCTGAGTTCCTCCAAGGGAGGAAGTCACAGAAAAACTGCAGGCACTTCTTTCCAAACTGTTTTTTTTTTCTCTCTTTTTTTCTTTAATGACAATGGAAGAGCATGCTTTGATTTCTGACAAAAAGGTTTCTCATTCAAGAGAGGCAAAAGAAGAAAAAATGCCCCTACTTCATTTTGTCATGACCCATACTTAGCATCATGAAAGAGCAGACAGGAGAAACTACTGACCTTCAGATCTAAATGGAGAATATAATGCTGGTGCAAGTAGTGGACCCCTTCACAAATTTGCTTGGTAAATAGGATTGCATCTAACTCTGTTAGATTGTAGTTTTCATCAGTGATCCGGTCAAACAGCTCACCACCATCAAGACTAAAATATTGACAGAGAAATGCAAAAAACAATAAGATTCCTTAATTGTCCAATTTATTATTTATTATTGCTCTATATTTCCTCTAGAGACCTGAGCAAACCTAAATATCTGACAGTGCCCAAGAACAATTAAACTTACTATTCCATGATCAAAGTGACATTATTTTTGCCTTCAAAAGCATCATAAAGCTGGATCAGATTCACATGATTTAACTGATTCATGATGTTAATTTCATTTTTCACTTCCTCCTGAAAAAATAACAGATTAACAGAAAATGAGCAAAATCAACACACTAAAATGCTATTATTTGTAAAGACTGAGCAACAATACCATGGGTCTGAGGCAAACAAAAGGTTTAATCACAAACACAGGAGATAACAAATACTCCTATAAAGTTAATTCTAATATAAACTAGGACTGATTTTCAAATATTTGATACTATACAATGAGACGTGAATTATTCAGAGCTGATTCAGTGAAGAGTTACGAAGGTGCTTGTGACATATGAGATTTACAGTATCTGCTCATTTAGATTTCCAGTCACACAATTACCTTTTCTTTTGCTCCTTTCACTTTTATGATTTTGGCTGCCAGGTTGAGACCTGTTGATATTTCTGTGCATTTATGAACTTGCCCAAAGCGTCCCCTGTTGACACAAAACAAAGGGTAGGAGAAAAGGCTTTAACACTACTCACCACAGAAACTTTTCAGACAACTATTCTTATCACTGGATAAAAATAGCATGGTACAAAGCGATCAGAATCGGGTGGCCATCAGCATGAATCTCCTCTTTCTCTCAGCTTATGAGGGATTAGTTTTATCTTTCCAGACAGTTGTTCAATGCTTACATTAAAATATTATGCTCCCTACATATTACTGCATTTCACAGTGGCATGATGACCTGACGATATTCTTTTTCGGTTCTGTAACTATAGCCGCTTGCTGTCCTTCAGTGATGTGTTAGTGGGTATATTAACAAGGATATTTCTGTCCTGATCTCATAACTTTTTTAATGACTGTAACACCAGTAACTGTAGCCCCTCTACAGGCTGAATTTCTCACATGTTGTAAATTCTCCCCAATGCCATCCAGTTATATTAGTGTCCCATGGGATGATTTTTAGACATCATCTTTTCTGCTGTTGCATCATCAGGCTTACACTTCCTAAGCCCTATTTGTACTTAGATCAGCCCATAATTCAGACCATCTTGTTAGACAAGTAAGATACAAGACTACAAAGCTGTGTGACCTAATGAGCTTTGCTGGCTTCAGATGTCTGAAGATTACAGCTTTTCCTCACAGCTCCAGCTGTGGCCAGGACTGTTACAGCTGATGGAGAAAGCAGTGATCCAAGATCACATTCAGGAGATTGTGAGTGACTGTCATCAGAATAAAGAACAGGGACTGAAACCAAAATCTAAGAGGATGGAGCAGGGAGAAATCAACAGAAGGTACGAGGAGCCCAGCAACTATGATCGCTCGCAAGGTCCTGATGATGACAAGAGGAATGGACACCCTATCCACACTCTCCCTGCTCTGCTATCCTAGGCTAAATTTTTCTCAGTCTTGTACCTGCCTCACAGGGGCATGGTGGAGGGCTGTGAGGAACAGACAGCTTTAGCTCACTGTGTAACTCCACCTCTTCATGGCTTGGCCACCACCTGCAGCACAGCACTGGGTACAGGCAGACTTACCCCCCTAGTACTTCATGACGACACACCGAGTAACACGTTGTCACCTCTGTTTGTTTGACGCTCACCGTGCGATGTTCAAAAGGAGCTGGAGGAGAAGGGCTGTCATCTAAAGAGGAGACAACCCAGTCATGAGGTGTTGTCAATCCACAAAACAGCAAACATAAGGTTTACGTGCAAGTACAATGCGTTTCTGACATTTCACACCGGTTTCACCACCATGAACGTGGTTTACGTTCACACAGTAACCAGAATTCTGTGAGCAAAAACATAACGAAAACAACAGCAAGTTACTCTCTACATAATACTTGGCTGCCCTCTGGATTCCAATTCACAGTTGCTAGGACATACCTGGACTCCACATTCTTTACCTTATGTAATAAATGTTTTTGTTTGTTTAGGTCTAATGAGCAGAGTTGTAGTCATTGCATATATAACATCCAGGGATAGCACAAACCTCAGTGCAAGTGTTCCCAAGAATAACTGTGAGCAATTTACCAATAATCATGCCATCCTGTTGAGGAGGCTCTTTGCTGTCTTCTAATGGTTTAGTCTTCCCCGGTGCCATTCCTGCACACTGATTTGCATCATTTCCACTGCCTCCTGAAGAGGTGAGCTCAGACTCCCTCCTCTCAGAGTTGACATCCTTCAGGGATTCTTCTGCTTTGCTGGTTTCTGGATGGATTTTCACTTCTATCCCCTGATCTTTCTTCAGCTCCTTTGCAGAGGTCTTCTGTGAGGTTATAACCTTGCATTTTAATTCTGATTTCTCTTCAGCCTTTTTAGCTGGTTTAGGCTTGCTCAGTAACATCTGCTGCTTCCATGACTGAGACGCAGGCTGACTTTGCTTATTGTCCCCTTTTACTTCTTGATTTGTCTCAGTGCTGGTGTTTCTAGGACTCTGATTAAGTTTTAATTTGTCAGGCAGCTGTTTCACTGCTTCTGTTTCAGCTGGTGTGGAGGACGGATTTTTTTCCTTCAGACTTTTACCTCTGTGATCATTAAAGCTTCTTTGCTTGTTTATTTCAGTCTGTTCCTTCGTTTCAGTCATATGCACACTGATGGATATCCTGGAGAGCAAGCAATTGACATTTTTACAATGATGAATACTTTTGCTTTGCATAAGTTGGTGGAAAAAAAAAACAGTTCACAGTCTTGCTAAAAATCACAGATTTCTATGATTCACATGTAGGAAATTTAGCTATGCAATTCTCTTAAAAAGCATTCACAGCACATGGTGGGGAGCTACCAATAAAAGGCGTGTTGATGCCGATGTCCTTGTCCTTGCCTGCATCTATGCTTATCAGCTGCTGGGCTCAAAACACGTCACACCGCAAAGCATCGACCTCACCATTCAAAAGCTCATCCCTTTGACCACTTTCTGCAGTTGCTCTAGCAGAAGACCCCTGAGCTGGGCAGAGGGGTGGCAGTGATCCCCTTCACAGGTTACAAACTGCATGTCTAAATGTCCAACTGCTCGTGTAGCTCTGCATGTTTCTCTCTTCCAGCTGGCTGACATTTGAGCATACAGGTCTGTTTTTTGTCTTTTTATGGAATAACATTCTTTCCATAACTTTCTGTTAAAAACATAACTTTTATAAATTCTGTCCTTCTGTTGATATTATTTTCCTTGACATTCCAACTACTGAAAACTCTTAAGGTTTTTTTTTTTTAAAAAAAAAAAAAAAAAAAAAAACGGAAAAATACAGATTAAAAAACGATCTTCTATGTTCTTGAATTCTGTCAAAATTGACTCATCTGTTATTGCCTCAACTGTTATGAGCATATAGTCCAAATTCAAAGAGGCTCCTGAACCTAACTGAAGGCTGAAGATGTATGCTAGATCTTATAAAGGCAATAAAAGAAAATCTTCAATGTCTCAGACAGAATGTATCTCATTTTCCCAGAGGCTATTGCCTTTTTTTCAGTGGAGTCGCGCCTTATTATAAGAGATGTTGTAAAAGAAATTGTTTCCACTTTTGCCAAAGATCTGAAGTCTCATGCTTAGCACATTTAACACCCTTTGCGCTGCGCTATGGATCTGCGCTCTGGGGAACAGCTATCTGAGCAGACACCTCTGCCACTATCTAGACAAGCCTGAACTCGACAGGACTCTTGGGCGTTTCTCCAAGCAGGGAGACACAATGTTCTTTCTGTGGGGCTTACAGACCTCACTAAAAGCTGAGTTCATTTAGGAGAGGCATTTGCTACGCCCGCCTGGCGTCACGCACAAGCCCTCAGGATTGCAGCTTCCCTAGCACTTCTCCCAGTTAGATTCTGCCTTCCAGCTTGCTCCTGTCCAAACCAAGCTCCTCGGGGTGCTGACACCCTCTGCCCAAACCACCCGGCTGCTCCAGAAGCTGCTGCCCCCGCTCCAAGCTCGCTGCCCGGCACACCACCTCTATTCCAAAGCACATATTTCCAAAGGACAACAGAAACCTTTCAGCAACTGCTCGAACACTTAGAGCTATCCTCAAAGCACAGGTGGGAATCTCCAGGGCAGTGCTAGGGCAGGCAGCTGAAACAGGGACACTCAGTTGTTCAAGCAAATTGCCAATGACTCATGAGCCAGAGCCAAAAACTCATGGCCAAAATACGGGCAGGCTTGTAATAACACATTCACAGCGTTATTACAGGAACCAATTTTGATATAATAGCTGGAGAAGAGGTCACAGGGTAAAAGTTTCTCCCTCTCTCTCCTGTCATGGCCTTGCACTCTTAGGAGAAAAAAGCCCAGTTTCTGTGTACAGACTACACCAACAAGGCAATATTTGTAGCGAGCAATTTCTCACAAAGGGGCTTTGACATTAAGACAGCATATGTTGATGTAATCATCACTTCAAAAAATTGTTATTAAAAAAAGCATCCTGTAAAGCCAGGAGACATCTACCCATTTCATACCAACATTTAAATGCCTTGCCTATATTCACAAGTACTGACACAAATTCAAAGTATTCATGTTAAAACATGTACACATAAAAGTCAAGCCACATTCTTGTCTGGCCTTCAGACACTAATTTGCACACACAGGCAAGAAGATAATAGCAAACAAAAAGTAAAATACCTACAAAAACATACGACATGTCACTTCGTTTTATGACGGTTATAAAAGCAGAGAGTTGGAAAGGTGTGATTGGTTAGAAGGGTCTAATTCCTTGAGTTTTCTTGTGGTGGTTAGTCTGTCATTTCTCTAGTACACAGAAGATGACCATATCTAAAATATCTTGTATATTTACTCCTCTAACTCTTTAGTTCATAAAAAATTACATGGGACTCTTCCTGCTCCCATTGCTCCTTTCCTACCATGGCCATTTTCCCCTCTTGACCACACTTCAGCAGGAGATGCCTCTTCAATAGTCTATGTTTACTTTATACCCTTCTAGCACTTGCAGTGTCTCAGATCACACAGAAAGTTACCAACGAGGCCGTTACCTGGTGCGCGTCACTTCGCCGCCTGCGTCAGACACGGCCCGGGACGTGGAGGGCGCCGCTTCCCGGGAGGCTGCGCCCAGCCGGGCCGGGTTGGGTTCTTTCTCCCCAACTTTCTGATGAAGAAGCTGCTTGTGATGCTCTTCCAGATGCGGGGCTCTGTCCACATCCTTTGCTTTGGCAGGAGCATTTTGGGGCCCTACAGGTTCTTGATGCAGTGAGGGGAGGCCATTGTGTTGATTCAAAGCTTTGACACCAATGTCCTTTGGTTGCTGACATATCTTAGAGCCCTGTGTTTTGCCAGCACCTTCTGCTCCCTGCAGCTGTGCTGTTCTCTCTTTAACTTGGGGTTTAGGGTCAACTTTGTGAATTGTTGCAGTGGAAGAGGTCACCTTCTCACATGCTCCATTGTTTTCATCCAATTTTTTCCCACTTTTAGTCTCTGAATAAGACAAGTCATTAACAGTGAGTGAGTTTTGTCAAAAGTGACTGAAATAGAGAAAGAGTAAAGTAAATCACCATTCAAAAAAAACTGGGCAGTTTTGGTGTTCGGAAAGCTCAGAAGAAAACCCCTAAAAGTGCAAAATCCTCACCAGCAGGCTTCGGATAGCCAATATTAAACCTGTGATTAAGCTGTGAACATTAACTGCTCTGCTAACTCTTCTGCAGTATCCCAGATAGAAGTTGAATTTCCAGAAAGCGACCAACCAAGCAAGCTGAAAGGCTCGGCTCACTGCCCTTCAAATCTGAAGTTACTCTGGAGGCAAATATAGCAGATAGGTCCCAGGCAGGACTTGCTAAACCTCCTTCCTGAGCAGGGCAGCAGAGATGCAAGGATCAAGACCCTTAAGGGTCTGAAAAGGTTCCCTGCATTTTCTGCAAAAGGACAAGAAGATCCTCCAGCACTTTTCATGCCTGTGGCTGGGAACATTAACTGTGGAAATTTATAGTGTAATTTCCATCGGGGGTACTTGTTAGCAAGATTGGTTTACAATCCTCTGTAGCTTTTGACTCAGAACTACGACTAAATGGCCAATTTATTTTTGTCAGCTCTAAATGAAGAAAGAAAAAAGGGGGTCTTCCACGACTTAAGGAATCCACTGGCAAATTGTGAAGCAGACAGGCTGACAGGGCCTGTTCAACATCACATTGATCCCTGCTGCAACTCCACGGGCATTAAGGGATGCAAACAGTGCCCTGACAGATGAATGCTAAATGTCCTAAGCCTGACATGGCCATGAAATTGCTGATCAAAAAAAAAAAAAAAAAAAAAAAAATTCCAGTGTCAGCACATCTCCCTTTCAGAGGGGTAGAGGGGGAGAGGGCTGTTCCAGCTCTGCTAAGGAAAAAGAGTCTTACAGGTTTGCTATGAGATTCTGCCACTACCTTCATGGTAACTCAGGACCAGTATTGTGCTCCCAGTTCACCTCATTGTAAACCCACAGCAAAGGAACAGTGTAGCCAAAGACCAGTTGCTCATTTTGGCGAGTTTCTAGGTTTTTCTGGGGTCCAATCTGGGGACAGATGTTCACGTAGGAGGGGAAAACATTGCTGTATTTTTCCAGCACTGCTGGATGCAGTTAACAGTCTGTCTGCACACTCTGGAGTTGAAGTTACAGCATGCCCGAAGTTGTACGTACCTTCCACCAGCTTCTTGCTCTCCGTCTGTGTTCCTCTATTACTAAGCACATGCTTAGGTTTTGCACCACTCTCTTCAGGTTTATCTTTGGCCTAAAAATGACAATGGAATATAAAAGTAGCAGCTATGGCCAACTGGGTTCCTCTGAGCGCACAGGTATTTAGATCTTGTAAAATAAGCCTAACATCTCCAATCTGAATTCTTCATTAACTGTTACCTTTTCGCCCCCTTTCCCGTATCTCTTCCCTTTTATTAAAATATATTATTGCAAAGCAAGACAACACAGAATAATACATAAGCTCACTGCTTTCCAAAATGTTAACTGTCAGAGACCTCGCCTGGTGTCACTTTCGCGTTAAAAACCATGGAATGTGGAACATAAGATAAAGGATGTATTAGAAAAGGAAATAATATTGTAATTCTGTCCCTTTTTGGCTGGTCACTGAAAAACAAGAGTTGCTTGTATAGATACTATAAAAATTGTCTTACAGCATCTGAGAAGGGTATTCATGATTCGAGCTACAACACAGGCGATACAAGGAGGCCCCGGTTTTATGGTAGCTCTCATGTACTTACCTTTGCAGTCAAAATTAAATAACTAATATCTAGGGAAAAAACATTATACAAAAATAGGAAAGACATATTTCTTGGTTTCAATTATAGTTTAACTAAATTTAATGATGTAGCAGTTTCCTACTCTTATTTCTATAAGAAAATAAGCAATATATTAAATATTTTTACACATAACTGATTACATCTCTAGTGCAAATCAGCCCCTTCAGTAAAAATAGTTAAGACCAAGCTTTTCTACGGTCTAACTTTTACTAACAGTAAAGAAAAATCCTGCTAATTAATTCTCCACTAATAAGAAAAAAATAGATACTAAAGATAGTAAAATATCATTACCATTTTTATTACAGCTCTAAACAAACCTGCAACAACGACCAGAGGGAACATTATTCTTGTAAAATCCTTTGTGCAAAGAAAGCCTTGAGAAAGCTTGACAGTCTAATATCTTTTTTGTTCTTTTTAATAAAGTGTTAAAGGTTTGGTTTCTTTGGAGCTCAATTCATTGTCTTTTATTATTTTGAAGCCGATCCAGCCAAACTTCTCCCATAAGCCTTTCCCTGGCATCCCTGGAATGTGTCATAGCCTCAGCAAACAGCTTCACCCAAAAATCAAAACATGACCTCCTGACTCCCACCTCCATACTTAGCAACCTTGTGCAAACCCAGCTCCGCAATAAGCAGCAATGCTGCTACAAAACAACCAGGGCTGGAAAATAGAAATAACAAGCGGCAAATTCCTTTTGCATCCAACCCCAGAGCAGTGTGGGCCTCTCTTTGGGCAGGTCGACACTGCTATCATGCAAGGGACTGCAAAAACCAAACTCCCAGGTTAGCACACGGCTCCACACGAGCCCATTCGCTTGTCTATTTGCCCATGCTTTGCTCCACATTACCCAGCGAGGTCAGGTATCACTTGCTACTCAGCACCCCTCTTGTGACCACCTCTCCATCTGCATCTCTCCTTAGCATTCTTTTCATTTGGACATTGGTTGATAAACTAGCCAAGAAAATAGACCCTCATGTTATATTCATCTTCTCACAGCTGTTTAACATACTGTTAAACTGCCAGTTCAAATCAGGGTCTATCTCCAAGCCTCAGGTGGTGACTGAAGGCAGTAACCTGTAACGATGCAGCTTTAACCAACATACAGCAAACTTTTCCTTTTTTTTTTTTTTTTTTTTTTTTTTTTTTTCTCCTCTCTATTTTTCCAGAAAGCTGTAGGACTAAAACTGGAACAGATTTCAAGTACGAACACCTCCATCTGGAGTTAATGTTGCTCTCTGATATCACTTAATTGTCTGAATGCTAATGGAAATTCTTTATACACTCTTCTTAGTCCTTAGCATCCTGCTTAGTTGCCAGTCTTTGACATTCAAGAAGGACAGCAGAAAACAAACATCTCAGACATCCTGAAAAATTATGCTGGGATCTACTACTGCTCTATTTTTGTAAGAGTTTAGGTAAACCTTTTATCCATACATTTTACCGATTTGATATAAAATATTCAGAGTAAAATAGGAATGGGCTTATAGAGGGATTTCAGTAAAGTTGTATTTGCTGTAATCACAGCTCTATATAGAAAGGGACCCTGGGAACAAGCAAATATCCCCTATATTCCAAGTCACGCCACTCCTCGCCTTCTCTCTCACAGTAATGGATACAAGCTATTGCGAAGACTCAAAGCTCCCAACAACCAAAACTCATTCCAAATGCCTACAGCTTTTAAAAACAATGTTTAAAATCAATTCTAAAACCCCAGACTGACTCCACCTGGTCTCATGGGTTCTCCCTCTCACTGTCCTCAGTAATTGAGAAGTACCTAGAAACTAATGCCTAGAAACTGATGCCATTGCGCTTGCAAACAGCAACTATTATTTGACTTGAGGAGTGGACCATGTTCATAAGAGTTCATAAACTTGCTAAGAACAACTTCGAGGTCTAAGGACATATATTTCTTTTCACAGGGGCTCAATTCAGTCACAATCTGAATGTCATTACAGAAGCTGAATTTTCTTTTACAGTAGTAATCTACGCATAAGTATTAGAGGATTTTCTGACCATTTTCGGTGCATCAGACAAACCTGCAAGGCTTTTTGAACTTTGGTCTCTGCTTCAAGAGGTTTACTGTTTAAAGATTACATTGCTAAGCTGTAATGGGCACTAATGAAATGAAATCCTGAATTCTAGATGTGATAAATCAGTGGGAGAACCCCAAGACCTACTACTTCACCAAGAAAAGAGCAAGAATAGTAAATCAAAACCAACCTCCACATGGATTTCCAGTAGACTCCCCTTCTTCCAGGGAACAATGCCTTTGAGAATAAAATCCACTACTTTTGAATTTTTAAATATTTCTCCCATAAACGTAATAACTTTATCCAGCGTATCAACCCTTTTCTCTATCTTTGTCAGCCTCTCCTTATGCTTCGAGGCATCTAGCTGGACAGCTTTCATCAGTTTCAGCACTTCGGAGCAGATGCTCTGGATATCAGCCTGGTGCGTAGCGTCCGATAGTTTTAGGACATTTTTCATTGCATCATTCTCATCAGGAGCTGCTTGGGATAATGTTAGCTTGTTAATGTCTTTTTCTATATCATCAATGCCTTTGCAAACTCGCGCCAGCTTGCCTGTCAGGTCTTCCTGGAAATGCAACAATTTGTCCACTTTTTCATTCAACAGATTCAGCTTTTTGTCCATCATGCTTAAAGTGTTCACTTTGGGAGGCTGTAACTTAGTCGGGGCTTTTCCCTCCGCAGGCTCCAAGCCACTCGCAGACATTCTGTCCAGGCAGCAGGATATCGGCTTCTCATTAATCACAAACTAGAGGACAAGTCCAAAAAGTCATCTTCTCAGCTAGCCCTTCACCAAACAGCCTCACTTATGGGAGATGCTAGAGCACGTCATTAGATAGCTACTGCACAAAAGACTTATTTTTGTGTTATCTACTGCGTGCTATAGATGGTGGGGCTCATTTGGCACCAGACCGTATTTTCTTGGGCCTCCTTGACGTCACAAAACCATTTAAAATTCTTTCTCAAGTGGCTGTTGAAAGGCAAGCAGCTCTGCCAGCAATGCCTGTGCAAAGCACTGCAGGCAGAAGCTTAGTTTTCACCACCAGTTTCAGCTCTGCACTAGAGAAAAGAACATGCCAGGATGTTTCTTTTTGTTACACATGAAAACTGTGAAAGTAAATTTGATAGATTTGACAGCCTAGTGCGAGACTTATAAGAATTCAGCATTGCAGCACGGACACAGAACACCCAGCACAGCCACAGGCCGTGCTCTTTAGCTTGGCTGGTACTTGAATTTTAAAAATAGAGCACAATGACAAGGATCTGAAACGTGCATCTAGCACCAGCATGTCTTTGTCAACTGAAACTTCTAAAATTAAATCTTTCTCCCAGGCTACGAAAAAAATTCCTCTTCATGAGGGCCCAGCATAATTACTTCAACCATTTTCAACAAGATTATTTAATAAAGCCTATATAAAAAGAAATCACTAACTCGATTTCCCTTCTGAAGTACATTAGTGTGTGCAGTACACAAGTTACCCTCGCTAGAGAGGAGAGAAACAGCCAGCCCTCCCTTGCACGGCTCCCAGCAGCAAGCTGAGCGCTGTGAACAGAAACACTTTGATATTAATCAATTTACTCGGCACCAAATGTGCTGTTGGTGGCAGTGGCCCGTATGGGAGCCTGGTTCTTCCATAACCTTTTTCCTTGTTGCACACTGACAGAAGGTGGGGAGAAGGCCCTGTGGAAACCCCACTGTCCTGGTATGACAGGAGAATCAAATCCTATCAAAACCATGGGCTGTGGGATGCAGAGCATCCCTGGGGCTCCAACCCCTTCCTCTCACACTTTTTCAGAAGGAGCACAGTGGAAAAAATGTAATTCGAAGGGAACTCACGTACTAGATAGGAAGTAGTAGATATAAATATACTCCCCTTACATGCAGGAGTCAGTAGTTGAAGTATTAGCATTCCCTCCCAAGAAGATAAATTGCTCTCTTACAGAAGCAAGAGAGGAAAGTATATTTATCTTTATGATAAAAACCACACTTTGATGTGTCTGCCAAGGCCACTAAATGATTTTTGCTGACCCGGGGATCCTGTGAAATTTAGAGGTCACTGGTTTTATCCTAGTGGCTTAGGATAATAATGCACAAGTTTTATGCATCAGCTCCATCAGCATTTACTCCATCAGCAAATACTTGAAATTTTCCCCTTCCTTATATCACTTAGTAGCTCACAGATCAGAGAGCTTTCACTATATAGAAGATATTTACAGGTAGAAGAGAAATAATACCTCAGCTGCACGAGCTTCAGAGCCACTTGCCAGCATTATATCCAATTGTAGCATATGTAAAGAAACCTACGTTTTAGCTACATTGAAAGAAGTTGAAAAGAGACAACAGAATTTCTGAGAGGCAATAGCGGGAATGAAAAGTTACAGAGCAAACTGGAATTCAAATGTTCAAAATCCAGAAACCATTTCTGTTCTGTTAGCAACAAACTGGACCGCTTTCCATTCATGCTTAAAGAGAAATGTATAATATCTGTTGTTTATGAGGTGAATTTTTCTTCTTCAGCAGAAAGTCAGTTTTTAATGCTAGTAAAAGTGATCAAGAAAAGGAGGCAGTACCCTCACCATCAAAATGTTTGATTTAACAATACTGCAAGAAATCCATTTCCTTTGAGAGGGAAAAATAAGATTTGGAAAAAATTATTCCACTAACATCAGCTTAATTCCTAGGGCAACTGGCAAGTTATTTTATGAAATCATCTGTAGTCCTTTCTTACAACATTACTTGAAACCCACTGTGCACCCATAGGCACCTCTAAAATTATCAGTAGAATGAAGGACAGAGAGGAAGGAGGATTTAGCTGACCCATAAAGGGAAATTTTAAATGTCTGTCACAAAGTTCAAATCAGTTTTTTTTTTCCTCCCCTCCCCCCCTTTCCTTCTTTTCTTTAAGCTTCCTGCTCTTCTTCCTCCCCTTTTTGAGCTGCTGGTAAAAGTACAAAAATAAAAAATTACTCAGTAGACCTGACGGTTTTGTCTTCATCAGGATGACGATATGTTCAAATATTGGCAAAAATCTTTTATTCCTTTTGTTCTAAAGTATGAAGGAAGGTAATTTTTATTCAGAACATTGATTTAGTGCCTAATATTTTCATCTTGCTTCAGCAGCCAGATGAGCATATTCGGTTTCACTGACAGTCTTTTTATTTTTCATTAAAAAAAAAAAAAAAAAAGAGAGAAAAAAAACCCACTAAATTGCCTATCACAGTAAACCCATACTCACACACTGTAAGAAAATGCAGTTATTATAAGAAATGGAATTGCCTATAAAATTCACTTTTTCATTGTCAGGGACTATTGCTTATAATGGGCTTGTACAAAATGTCATTAGATTATACTACTGCATACGCTGCTTTGCCTCCAATACCCCTCAAAATTACATCTGAAAAACTTCATAGGAGTAATGAATTCCAAGAGTAACAAATCCAGCAAGTTCTGCAGGACTTCCAGGCACCATAGAGCTCTATTCTAATAAACTAGGTGGCCACGAGACTTTCACAACCACAGCCTGGATGCAATATGGATAAGCTTACTGGTAGTAACTAATGTGCTTTTGGTACGCACTCATTTCTTGTGAGCAACAACAAACGGGCGTCGTGGTCTGGAGAGTGTCCGCAACCTCCTCCCCTCCGGCAAGGGCTGAACTGAAACAAATATCCAGGAAACTTTAAAGACATTTCCAAGCTATCAATGTCTCAGAATCGGCACAGAAGAGGAATATGAATGCTGGAGAGCCAGAACTGCAAGTGACCTTGAGCTGAGGCCAAAGAGACTTCTGTTTTCAGGGGGGAAAATGAGTGTTCATTCCATTTCGGCTTCAACCCCACACACATACCCCTGGTTGAGTGAGGGCTATCAGAAGACAGGAGAAAAATTCCCATTTGACACAGCGGGGTTTAAGAATCTGTGACGTGACAGCTGAGTTCTTATGCCTCCTTGCTAGCTCTGACCAAAGGAAGGAGAGAAGATTTGTCACAGGAACAAAGATGGGGCAAAGGGAAAAGCAACAAAAATCTACAGCACGTACTAAAGTGACAGCCGAGGCTTATATCCCGAACAAGAAATGTCACAGAGGTTAAGACCAGCTGCTCACACAGATCATTTCATTACATTAGTGCATTGCTTCCAACAACAGAAGAGAACTGGAGATGGCTTAAAGTATGTAGGTAGATAAAAATTAACCTTTAAAAAGGCCTAAGTCCAAATCTTTCCAGAGAGCTTGGGGAATTGGGAGAAGTTTGCAGTGGCTGCGCTTAACAGGTCTAAGGCAAGAAAGATTTAAATGGGGTGAGTATTAGGAGCTTACAAAAACAAGAGCAGCAGATAAGCTCAAAACAAGCCAGCCACATCGGCTAAATACATCTCGGGCGTAAAATATTAAGAAAAATCATTTACATATTTCCAAAGCAGCTGGCAGATTTTTCAAATTATGTTGACAATTTACTTATCTCACAGCTAGTTACTTCAGCTCATGAGCACGCATCTCAATTACTTCCAACAAATGAAGTAGTAGGTACCTAAACTTTAGAAAAATGGAGCTTTACCAACATGTAATTTCTCAGCACCAGCCTGCAGAAAGACCAAAGATAATAAATCATCTTCACTGAGTAACGGTGCAGCAAGAGACACCAATTCTCATGATAAATGGCAAGTATTCAAAACTGCATCAGCTTTAATTTAAAGCAATAATCTCCAAGGATAGAACTATGCCTTAGTGCTATCTATGAGAACTGAGAACTATGTCTCACTGCAATAGCTGGATTTCCTATGTGAGCAGACAGAAGACGTCCCTCTGCCATACTTGGCCATGCACGAGGAACTGGTCCTTATCTCCTCTGGAAGGTCAAGAATCTGACATTTAATTCCTTGCTTGCGGCAGTTGGTGGTCAAATCCACCTGCACAGTAAAAGAGTCAATAGGGAACTATCAGATTCCCCAAGCAACCCTGGCATAATATATTTAAATTGCCTTGTACAAGGCAAGTTTGAATTTACTGTAACATCCTATCAATCAATTATCACATCTTAACAACCAATATAAAAACATCTTTCTATGTTTAGTGATGGAAAACTGTTGATACAGTAAGCTACAAAACTCCTAGTGCTGACCTTCCCCTCCACTCCCTTTATATTCCTTTTCAAACATCTGAATCCAATACAACCCTCCTAGGCACTGGCCCAGCTAAGGAGAGGTTAATGAATCAGGGATCATGTGTAATATTTTTAATGCATCTCTGTCAAGCAGCTGACAGCAGACAGCTCAACAGATCAATTGTAACATTTCATTTACATCAAAGTGATGAGATTTCTAGATAATGCTGTTTACCATTTGCCCACATGGCTTAACAAGGATCTTTAAATCCTTCCTCCAGGTTACTCTGCCCCTCGGGAGGCCAAAAGAGCACCTGTTGCCCGCTCACATTTACCCGCCTGACTCCAGAGTTCATGCTCACCACCAAGCCTGCTGGCCGCAGAACTACATCTAGAAGCTGGCTCATATCTTGAATTTGCATCTTTTCCAACCATTTATTCACTTCCCTAAATGGCTAGTGAAATATTTTGCCATGAGAAAACTCTAAAGAGAAGGCAGCTAACGATAATGTTTCCCTGGTGTGGTGGCAGCTCTTCACCCCCTGCTCCATTCCACAATATCTGCCTGCAATGTGCTCTCCTCTGGACCCTGAGGGCAAGTCACACTGCGGGCTCTGCTTTCTTTGCAGTTCAGGGA